AAAAAGCTATGTAGTTTTTGAAAATTGATCCAGGGGCAGAGAAGAAAAAACGGAAAACAAAAAATGAATAAAAAACTTGTTTTTGCGTTTCAATTAATACTAAACATATCGGAAAAATGCTTTAGAAGTTAATAAATTGAGGGGTGCCTTGTCGTATGGGGGTGGGAAGGGTGTACTGCAATTTTTTGGTGAGAGTATACTTATAAACTTTCAACGCCAGCAATTTCACACGTCTATAAGTCATATTTCACATATCTGTTAACCCTTACTACTTAGAATGAAAGACAGAAAGAAATATTTTGTGTATAAAGTGCACAAGCCTCAGCCGGCTCTCTTAAGCGAAGATCCACTCGACGGGTTGTTATCTGGACAGCTGAGAAGGGCTTAACTATGTAACAAAATTGCGACTACCAGGGCAATTTAATTTATTCACTATAAATAATCAGATAGGGTGTCAACAATAGGGCTAGATTTATTGAGGTGTTAAAAAACCGAGAGATATTAAGTAGAAAAAAGAATATCATCTAATTTTAATACATTTTCCTCAAGCAAATAATACCAGTGCATACGAATTCGATTCGATTGTTTAAAAAAAATAAACAATACTTTGTCTACAACAATATTCACGACCAGCTCCAAGGGTGTCCATAGTCGATAAATAGTAAGCTTACCAGAACGTGCTTCAATTCAATTTAATTTTTTATTTACTGCTAAGTACACAATGCGCGAAGTCATTAAGATACAGTGTTGACATTTATCAGCAATAAACATTATTACGATCATAAACATTTGAGACATCACAAAAAATAATAAAGAACAACTAGAATTCTGAGAAATCATTGCCGAAAAATCGTCAAAGTTGTAGTATGCTTTGTTGATCAAGAAGCATTTTATTTTCATTCTGATAGGATCGTCACTAAGGCCAGTATCGTCAGTCGTCCCTACAATTGTAGGGCGCCTTTATGGCCTCCTTGATTGTAATAGTTTTCTGCTTCTCCGTGTCAGAACTCTATTTTGAGGTTATGACACAAACATCTATTTGCATCAAATTGTGCTTGATTTTGAGTTATATCATGTTTTATCAGCCTGAAATTTCCTACAATTTAAAAAGAAAACATATCTTCACAATAGGAGAGCGCTGACGCTGACACGGGACAAGTGTAATCTAGAAATTTTGGTGGAGAGAAAGGAGGATGACAATCAAGAAGGCCATAAACGCGTCCTACAATTGTAGGGCGCCTTTATGGCCTCCTTAATTGTCATAGTTTTCTACTTCTCCGTGTCAGAAATCTATTTTGAGATTATGTCACAAACATCTATTTGCATCAAATTGTGCTTGCTTTTGAGGTATATCATGTTTTAAGCCTAAAATTTCCTCCAATTTAAAAAGAGAACATATCTTCACAATAGGAGAGCGCTGACGCTGACACGGGACAAGTGTAAACTAGAAATTTTTTAAGGAGGGAAAGGAGTATGACAATCAAGGAGGCCATAAACGCGCCCTACAATTGTAGGGACGACTGACGATACGGGCCTAAATATCTTGACTTTATCTAGAATTGCATTATAGAAGCGGTTGCCGTGGTAATTAATACCGTTTCTCGTAGTATTTTCTACTCTGCGGCCTTATACCAGGGTACAAAGCAGTGGCGACGCGTGACTTTTCCTAAACTGTTACCAAAACCAGATGTGAAAAATTTTATTAAAAAAAGTTTATTTTGAACCTCCCAAATATAAGTTTTTGCTTATTTTAGGTATTTTATTTAAACTATTTTTAAATTAAGGTAAAGATTCCTGGACTGAGCGTCTGGGGCACTTGATATACCTCATCATCTTATGCTATGACTAATCCAAGCCGTCTGAAAAAACAGTCGACGTTTCTAGATGTTCGGAACATTTTTGATCTTTTTTGGCAATGAATCTTAACAATTCCCTGTAATTTCCTCTATTGTCAGAGTCATCCGCTTCAAAATGAACGGTAATTCCTGTTTTGCCAAAAAACATACGGTATCTAGAAGTGTTCTGCCTAAAAGCTTGGTTAAGACAACTTTCGATTCTTGTTTTGCCAAACTGAATTAAATTGGCTACACATCTCACATGTAACGGAGAAATTTCATGTCTCCTCTTTAGAGCCCTTAAACTATTTAAATCGTTGACTCCGCTGCATTTTATTTTGTATAAAACACAAGACATCGGCAACAATACAATCTGTTTTTTACAGCCACATAAACAAGTTAGATTTAAAATATCAAACTACGTTTTTCTATTCCTTATTAAAATTATCTAAAGTAGGCGTTGGTCTTCCATTTTCAATGATCTCCTTGTTTTCTTAAAAATTATACAAGGAGAATTACATTTTAAGTAGTAGATCGATTACACAGCGACACTCATCTATGTTTAATTGCACGCATACTACAGCTGGTAACCAAAAAGGGTACCAACGAGTGAGAAGTGAGTAACCAAATCAAAAAATGGTAACAAGCCCACATAATGGTAGCAGCGCCCCACGCACTCGGGCGACCGCGATCAGACACGAGCCGGTACCGACGGTCCCCGACAGACTACCAAGTATATCCATAAATGAAAATGGTAACAACCGACAACCAAGTCGAGGAGAGTCAGCTTCATCGTGTTCGCAAGCCCTAGACACTATAGGGCGCAATATTTTAGTGGGGCTAATTTGCTATTTACTGAATTACTATTACATATCGCTGTTGGTAAACAAATAAATGAAATTATTTCACAGTACTTAGTCATAAAATATTTATTTTTAAGATTCTTAACTGTTACCAATGGTAACAACGGTTACATAGACGATTAGCCACTGGTACAAGGATTGTCATAACCGGCAAGCAATAAAGATACCAGAGCGGAAAAAAGTTGACTCAGAAGCACATACAAAGTCCATCTGTCCATAATTGTGTGGGAAGTACAGAGTTGACCTACTTGACGCCACTTTGTTGCACACTTCTTGCACATTATCTTTACTGGCAACACCGTCAGACAGTCTGGCCGTTGGAATCTCGAAAGGAATTCCAGTCACGTGCTATATTGGCAGAAAGTCTCTATGCCGTAGCTGGAGCTGGTGCAGAGTGAGACGCATCGGTAGCGCTACGAACTATGGCAGTACGTCAAAGCAGGCAAGCGACGAGGAGCCTTTCAACTCCGGACTATTCGCCGGCATTTTCACACTTTACGAGCACACATTTTGCTCCACACCTTTCTCGCTCAGCTACTATTTATGCTACAAATTGGACGCCGTACGCTAGGGTTTCCCTTAAAATGCAATGTCGTAAAATGCGACGCAGCTTACCAGATTTTTATTTCTTTTAACAGGCGTAATTTAGAAAATTGAAGAAATAAAAGCTTCTGGTATTTTGATTCATCATTTTGCTACGGACAAAGACGATTATGGGTCATTCTTATTTTCATTTACAAGAAAAAAATTGAATTGTTATATTTTTAGATTCATTACCATTTTTTTGGACAATATGTCAAACTGTGATATAACACTGAAAAATCCTATTTCTTATATTGTATTTCCCACGGTTGGGATAATACATGGTCGCTACAGGTAGCCACGATTATTATCAGTTATGATTCAATCGTGTTGGAATATCTATAAAAAAATACCGATTATTTTCATTGAATTACATCACTCAAAACTAATGTTTAGGTTCTCAAATATTATCATACCATGTTACAGTTTCTTTTTGTGGTCGACTAGAGATTAACTACATATATCTTGATAAAGTAAATTATTACAACGTTTTTCTTGTTTAGAATAATAATTTTATAACAGTTCCCAAAAATAGTGAATTTTATTTTTATTGCAAAACACGTCTCTTTTCTAATAATTATATGGTAGAAAATTGAAGGGCTTGGGGCAACAAGGGACCTAAGCCACATTTGAACAAAAATCTACATTTTTATTCAGGCGCATCGGTACTGTAGCTATCTATGCCTGAAATTGATTTTTGTTTAGCAATTCGTCGATAGATGCCGCCATTATTCATGCAGGGCGTTTTTGACAGACCAATATTTCCACACATTTTTACGCCGAAAAGGACATAAACCACACAGATGTCAACATGGCCGCCAAGCGAAAGTTGATCACTGATGAGAATAATACATATTTCAGTGATACAGTGAGCGAAGATAGTGATGAATTTAGCTCAGATGATAGAAAGACAGAGATTACCATCAGGTGAATAAATTTGTAGCTTATGGCCTTATTGCCGTTACAGATATGGCTTATGCTTTTTTTACGTGTAGAAACGACTTTTTATAATATTAGTCGCATCATACCAGTAGATGTGTTTAGACTAATTTTTAATGAAAATATATTTTAATCGTAATTTATGAGGGCTAACGTAGACCGCGAATAACTTCAATACGTGTCAAAATTACGTAAATTTTTGTATGAGTGGCTTATGCCCTTCTTCACCAAGTAAATTAATCTTGTGGCTTGTGACCTTTTTCGGTGTTCCAAAATAATGATAAAATTTTTGGGCAATTTTATAAAATATCAGTATATTTCAATAAGTTCTTACGTTGGACTGAAAGAAGCAATAGCTAGGGGTGATAATTTTTTGTAACACTCAAAAATTGCTTTTAGGTGGTTGTAAGTAGAGGAAAGACCTTTACTCCTGAGAAACCAAGAAAATCTAGATGGAGAAAAAAAGATGTTGAAGGCAGAGTAAAAGTAAAATCACGAACACGTAGAAGTCTTGGCCGCAGTTACTTAGATTCTAGAGGTCGACAACGAGAAGCTAGAGTATTAGGTCCCCCATGCCAGTGCAAGAAGAACTGCGGACAACTTCTCCAAGGAACTGAATCCAGTATATTCAACTCATTTTGGGACTTGAACACTTATGACCAACAAAATACTTATCTATTTTCTACTATAAAAGTTATACCGAAAAAGAGAAGCTACAAAAAGAAGACTAAACGGCAGGAATCGGCTCGAAAAGTAACGAATCAATATTTCGTCAAGGTAAATGGAGTTGACGTTCAAAATTGTAAAACCGAGTTTTTATCTGTCCATGGCCTTCAAAACTCCAGTAAGCGATAGAAATTTATTGCTCGGCAAATTTCCGAAGGCAGAACAACTCCAAAGAGGGATGGCAGAGGCAAACACCAAAACAGGCCCAACAGAACCTCTGCAGAAAGAGTTCAGTCTGTTCATGACCACATTCAAGCCATTCCAAAATATGTGAGTCATTATAGTCGGAAAGTCAACCCAAACAGAGTATTTTTGAATCACGACCTCAACATATTGACACTGTACAAGGATTATTATGTTGAATGGTGCAAGGAACGTGCAATAACACCAGTAAAAGAAGACCGGTATAGGAGAATATCCTGCTCTAAGTACACCATAGCTTTTAAGCTGCCCAAGAGTGATACTTGTCATACGTGTGATCTCCTAAATAACCAAATGGAAGCCAACAAAGAAAACCAAGATGAATATAACAAACTCAGGATACAACTTCAGCTTCATCAGACGAGAGCAGTTGCCATGCAGGAAAGTTTGAGAAAAGAAGTATTAGACAATGCAACAAATTACACAAAGGATATTATATCTTTTGATTTGCAGCAGACTCTTCCCACGCCTTCGCTCACTGTGGGCCCTGCTTTCTATCTACGCAAGGCTTGGTCATACAACCTTGGCATTCACGATTGTGTCAGTGGCAAAGGTAGTATGTTTTTGTGGGCCGAAACTACTGCAAAAAGGGGAAATGAAGAGATTGCAAGCATCCTACTAAAATACTTACAAAGAGCACCTAGTGGTTTTTACGGATAAATGCGGGGGACAGAAAAAAAACTGGGTGATCATGTCTCTGTGGCTGCAACTTGTCCGAGAAGGATTTTATAAGTCAATTGAACACCGTTTCCTTATTTCTGGCCATACTCACTTACCTTCAGATAGAGATTTTGCTATCATTGAAAAACAAAAAAAGTATATTAAGCAGGTATACTGTCCAGAAGATTGGATGGACATTGTGAAGGAATCAAATAGGAAAAATCCATTTGACACAGTCTTAATGCAACAACAAGACTTCGATAAATTCGACTCTATCTGTATGACGAAAAAAAACGTCACTGTAGGTAAGGAGCCCATCAAATTCAGTGAAGTGCGATGTTTCAAGTTTGACAGTGGACATCCAAATTCTATGTTCATAAAACATAACCTTAACGGAGAATTTCTTGAGCTAAATGTGGGTAAAAGGGGATCTAGACTAGGAGACCAACGAATCTGATCTGAGACCAAAATACGATGTCCCTGTAGCACTGAATGTCAAGAGGATCCAGGATCTGAAAAAGCTCTTAAAATACATCCCACCAGTCAGTCAGCAGTTTTTTGTAGATATTGCAGCAGAGTCAGAGAATGAACAGACAGAAGGAGAAGAGGGAGTTGAGAACATAGATGGTGATGAAGAAGCGGCGGATATTGAATAAAGGAACATGAATACTTATTATAATTAGAGTTTCTTAAGTTATCTTTATAATGCAGATTTTCTTTTGTAATAAGGTACCAAGCCACCGAATTTTGCAAAATAAATTATTTTCAAGAAAATGTGTTACATTTTCTCTACGCAGTTGTCATCAGGTTGTAGTTTTTCGAGTTGTAAACGTGTTATGTCAGTCCTGGCTAAATACAGAAAAGAGCATGATTTCAGGATTTACATAAAATTTACAATGTCCGATTTCTCGAAACAATGTCAGAGCGGCTTAGGCCCGTATCGTCAGTCGTCCCTACAATTGTAGGGCGCGTTTATGACCTCCTTGATTGTCATACTCCTTTCTCTCCTTTAAAAATTTCTAGATTACACTTGTCCCGTGTCAGCGTCAGCGCTCTCGTATTGCGAAGATATGTTTTCTTTTTAAATTGTAGGAAATTTCAGGCTAATAAAACATGATATAACTCAAAAGCAAGCAGAATTTGATGCAAATAGAGGTTTGTAACCTCAAAATAGAGTTCTGACACGGAGAAGTAGAAAACTATGACAATCAAGGAGGCCATAAAGCCGCCCTACAGTTGTAGGGACGACTGACGATACGGGCCTTAGGTACCTTGTTGCCCCAAGCCCTTCAATTGTAATATACTCTATCTTATTAAAGTCATATTTTATAATTTCAGTCGAATTTAAATAGGAGAACTGAACGTGACTTCGTGCTGTTTCTTTCCTGTGCTCTCGTGTAGCAGTTCAGCGCTCACAACCTTCGTTAGTGAAGCGATTTCACACCCAGTACTGGTTATTTGCCGGGTTTTCGGAATTTTTGATAGAAATCGGCATTCATTGCTGAATTTTTTTATCGGGGTCCACTTCTCTCCTAAGCCATCGAGCTGAGCGGAACTGTCTGCATTAAGACTCCCAAACGATCTATAAGTAGTACTCACGTCTACGAGGAGCAGTCTTCCATTTTCGAGAACACTCGTTGTTCGAGAGTTCTACCTTCGGATTCTGATTTACATCTGGGATTTCCTACCCTTGCTTAAATAATTTCCTTTTGCTTGTCTCCCAGGACTTAAAAAAAAATAAATTTCTTTTTTTTTGTTCAATAAATGTTTCTGTTCCTTGTAAATTTGTGTTTCCTTTAGCTCCACAGACCTATCATTTGGCAGTCAGTTTAAGTATTGATATGCCGAAAGGCACTACTTGTTATTTCTTTTTCCTAGTTGTTGGAACCAGGTGGCGCCCAAACCTCAACCATTTGTATCAAAGACCAAAGTACAAAGAACCACACTCTAAGGTCACATTATCCATCAACGGAGCACATGGTTTTATTGTGACTAGAAATATAGACAGGATACCACGGTTACGCGGGATAACAAACAGTTATCAGTTATTGCTAAATTTAATTAAAATCAATTTTACTCCTAAGCATGTTTTTTCTACTATAACCAGTCAGGAACATTAAAATATTTTCTAATAGTAGCAATAATTTACTTATTTCATCGCATTGATTCTATGGTAGTGCCTCATGATGGTTGTGACTATTTTGAACTGTGGCTCGCTGAACTTCAAAGCTGTTTGCTTTACGTTGTTGGTCAACTTAGGTACACGATTAATGGCAACTTTTGCGCAATTGCTGCATGCAACAATTGAAAGCAAGTATATATAATATAATCTAATATAATTTTGTCTAAACGGTGTGTTGCTTTTAGTTTATTGTGATCGAGACTAGCTTTATGGACAATTCCCAGAAATTATGTAAATAGTGCGAACAGTTTTTGCTATGTGTGCGGAGAGCTGACTTTTAAATCCCAAAAACGTACTTTTGCTCCCCTTGTGTTGAAAGCATACTAACTTTATTTTAGAATTGAAGTTGGCGATCAAGATAAACTATGGGCCCCTCATATATGTATGTAAGACTTGTGTAACGTTGTTATCAGGTTGGTTAACAAGCAACAATCGTAAAATGTCCTTTGTGGTACCAATGGTTTGGAGAGAACCGAGAGACCATACTGATTGCTATCTTTGCCTCACAAATATTAAAGGTATTGGACCAAAATCGAAACATACTGTTAAGTATTTTAATCTAGCATAGTGATAAACTTTCTGTCCCAGTTCCACCAGAATCTTGGTCTTAGGATAAAAAAGTCGAATCCAACGAATCTGAAAGTGATGGTGCAGAAAGCGTAAAAATTTCCGATCCTTCATTTGACCTGCCCTGATGTTCAACACTGCCGCAGTTCGAGAATTAAATCTGTCAATCAGAACTCTTAGCGTCATGGAATCTTCTCCACGATGATGTTGACATTATTTTTTACCGAAAACGGCAACAAGACCTCACACACTGTTTTCGTCAATAAAGGGAATTGACATATTGCTCCGATGTCAACAATTTGTTTAAGGCGTTAGGACAGAAACATGATCCAAATGATTGGCGCCTGTTGAATGATTCCTCTAAACTTAATTAACACCGGTATTGGTACACAACGGTAATAAATATCCATCTGTACCTATAGCGAATGCAGTTCGTATGAAAAAAATAATATGCGAGTTCTGTTAGAACATATCTCTCATAATGAATATGGATGGGCCATTTGTGCAGATTTAAAGGTCCCTTCTTCTATGAATGCAACTGGGATGTACGAAATATTGTTGTTTTTTTTGTGATTGGGACAGTCGTGCGCGAGATCGTCATTATGAACAGAAGGAGTGGCCACTACGTCAGGTATTAACTTCGGGCCTCAAAAACGTTGCTCATGAACCATCCAGTTGATCCCAAAAACGTATGCTTCCACCTTTGCATATTATGTTGGGACTGATGAAAAAATTTGTGAAAGCTATGGATCGAAATGAAAGAGAGTTTCTGCATTTAAAACAACCATTTCCCAGACAGTAAGTCAAAAATTAAAGAGGGCATATTTTTGGGTCCACAAATATGGAAAATCATGAAAGATGATGTATTTGCCAGTGCTCTAAGTGAAACTGAATTACTGCAAATTTTTTAGGCAATGTGAAGGCGGCCAATTTTAAAGATATTGTGAGTGAACTAATTAATGCTTATAAAGGAATGGGATGTAACATGTCTCTAAAAATTCACTGCTTGGACTGTCATCTCGAATTTTTTCCGGAAACTTTCGACACAGTAAGTGATGAACATGGTGTATGGTTCCACCAAGACATTTCTGCTCTGGAAAAACGGTATCAAGGCAAATGGGGTGTCAATTTGCTTGCTGATTATTGCTGGGCACTTCAGGAGCAACATATCGCCGTAAAATATCGATAAAAACATTCTGAGATTAATGTTTATTCGAGTGTTTATTACATAGTACTCTTACACACATACTCTTATATGTTAATAAGCAGCAAATACAATGTCTTATTGCAAGAAAACCGTGGGTGATAGAAAAAATCGAATGCTGTTTCCGGATTTTTGGGTACGTTTTACATAATACCCACATTGTTTTGTCCATGTCACAAAAAATTATTTTAATTTTGTTCACCAGTGTAGCCAGCTGTCATTCTACCCTGACGGATACTCTTTAAATAGAGTATAGCGATTTCTGTCTATATTTAAGGTTATGTAGCATGGAGAATTATGTTTCTCAAAAAACTATAGGCATCATCTCAGAGCACAAGCTTCGCTAAATATCTTGCTTTTTTCGCTGAGATATGGCCCTTTGAAAATTTCATTTTTCTGAATTCCACTATCTTCGATACTCTACAAATGATTACACAATTTCATTAACGAGTTGATGTAT